TATGTAACCTATGATAAAGGTAGTAATCGTAAATAGGAAGCCCTGCTACATTCTTTGGGTAGTACAGTAGCAAACAGTAGCATTGACTTGACACGATATGGTATAGCATAGTAGCAGTAGTAGCACCCCTGTAAAATAGTTCTTATAGTCCTGGCATGAATCGTGTTTTGTTTTAAGTACTAGGCCCATTGTCAGAAAACACAAAATTGACCAATTTTTCTCTTAATAATTATCTTACTAAGGAATATTGATTCAAAATTTAAATTTAATCTTATTTTTAAAGAAAATTCTCTTATTAATCCTGTTATCCAATATACCCCCTTTAATACTTACTACACATGTAAACCTATAGATACGACCCTATCAACTTCTGGTGAAATTTGGAAACTACCATTATCGGATTTATGTTAATCACCCTTAATGACTAAAATATTTCAAAAGCCATAAGACTAGAGGGGCGTATCTTGACTACTTGAGTTTCTAATTTATGAGTGGGATTTAAATTATTCGGGGGCTGAGATGGAGACATGTAGGGGCGAGAGAGAGGGGAGGTCAACAACCTGGGAGGGACAGGGACAGGTTGTCGAAGGTAACTTTCCTTGCAGGGACCGGTCGAGCCTAGAGTATACAGCCTACAGCCTAGCTAGAGTATCCAGACAGGTGTGTTGATGAAAGAAAAAGAAACGTCTCCAGAATCTGAAAATTCATCATGTACCTAGATTAGGCTTTTCTTCAAAGGGGTCAGCAATATTTATTGTTAAGTAAGGAGAGTTGGAATCATAATGGTATAAGTTAACAGAAGGTAGCTATTCTACAAAGTCAGACTGCATTATTTATCAAGTTAAACGGGGGTTACTTATACAAGAAGAATCAGAACCCTAGTCGAAGACCTTTGGTAGAATCAGAATCATAATTGGATCAAGACCTTTGGTAGAATCCTAGTATCAAGTTAAACACGGGGTACTTTTACAAGAAAAATCAGAACTCTAGTCGAAGACCTTTGGTAGAATCCTAGTATCAAGTTAAACGCAGGGTACTTTTACAAGAAGAATCAGAACAGTAGTCGAGAAGTCCTTCGGTAGAGAAGAGTCGGAACCCTAATTGGATCAAGACCTTGGGTAGAATCCTAGTCAAATTACTCCTTAGGATCAGAATCATGGTCCCTGTTATAGTAGAGTCAAAAGCCAAGTCAAATCTATAAATCTGTATGACGGAACCTGTCTTCTGACGCTTCGTCTTCCTGGGACTAGCGAGGAGTCAGGTTCCTGTATACAAGAGTATAGTCCTTTGGTAGAGTCAAAATTAACTCCATTGGTAAAGTGAAGTCCTTGGAAAATCAAGTTATTTGGTCAGAATCCTATGGAAATCAAATCCTATTGTTGTAGAATCAGAAGTTCGTTAAAGTAGCTGTTATCGGTAAGTTGAGGTCAATAAGGTACAGTATTCTGAAATGTTTCAGTCGAAGTAGAGCGGGAGCAGCCAGTCGAGAAGTATATGATGGATCTTAGAACTTGAATAAAACACGAAAGCCATCTGATAAAACAAACACTTACAGAATCTCTTATAAACGGAATTGATTAATGGAAAGTGCAGGTTCAGTTACCAAAAAGATAAATGTTTATAGAAATTTTACAAAACATTAGATTGAATGTTGTATCAGCATTGTGTAGTTTACACGCCTATTATAATGGTAGTGAAGCCAGAAGGTCCAGGTGCAATACCGGTAACGCTAACGGTCTGGACAGGGGACAGACCAACTGTGCTGTCTAGACTGGACTGTCATGGAGTCATGCCATCTTGCCATGTCTAGATCAGGCGCAGATGTACCTGAGTGACGTTGACGTAGTCCTAACTTTATCTCCTCATCCAATCCAAGTACCACTTGAAGCGATTTGTCTCTATTACATATAATTTAACAGACACTTCCGCCTTTCACCTAGCTGCAAAACCTGGACGCGGTAACAGCTTCCTGGGTGGTCTTCTCATGAAGACATCTCATTTCGTCCATCGCACATTTTACAAATGCAATGATTTTGCACAAAGAATTGTATGCATAAAAAGATTAATTTGCTTATACATCTCGAGCTGCATTGTTTCTTTCACCGAAGGTATTTCACTTCTCATTGATTTTCTGGATTTTGAGAAAGAAGAGAGAAGCTCAAATTCATACTCAAACCTCTTTATTTTTGACAGTTGTTACAAACTGCATAATAGCGTCAACAAAATTTCTCTTAAACAAATCAAAACAATATTTTCTTATGGATAAAATATGAGTGTATAAGTTACTTTTTATTTAAAAAATGTGGTAAGAAGATAATTATAGTAATGCACTATGATACCAAATCGCACCGTACGTCTACAGCCGCATCAAAGTATTGATGGGATCTACATTGATTATAATTAATTAGGGATTCTTGTCTCTGTCTGTGGTCTTTTTTTAGAAGAGATAATTGGATTGATTTAAAGCTGAAAATGATATTAAAGGAGTACAGAAACATGTTTTACTACCGCATATTTATTAATTAGGCTAATAGGCCAGATCGTTTGTCAACAAATTATCAGACAACATAGCAGATTATCAGATACGTAGTATTTTCAATACAAACGTCGATGCGTCTATTTCATAATATATGGGTATTTTTTATCACTTAGCCTAACAAAATTCTTTATTGCAGATGACCAAACTGTTACTTAATTTTTCTACCAACATATAAACTTAGCAAACCTATAGACTATCCAAAGCTAAAGTTGTGCAAAATTACAGCCTACACCAATGGACCTTTAAAATCTACTGTTCAAATACAATGACAACGTGTAGCAACCAGAGACAAAAAGCACAATAAACCCCAGAACAATTTCGACCCGTTCGTTGTTCTCAAACAAACTAATTAACCGCGTTTTCTTCTGGTAACAATAGAGCTGTATTAATCAGCGTGGTCTGGGATTGCGCTTGCGCGCGATGCCACAAGATGGCGGCCAGTGTCAACATGGCGGCCTAGCGCAAGTCGGGCAAGGCGTTTGACGTAACCCGGCCTTGGAGGTTCACTCACCCGGTATTTACATACAACACCGGCGTATAGAATACGACTACAGACCCCGCTATAGTTGCACCTGCAGCAGTGACCTTGGTGTCATCCCGACCTGCTTCCGATAGTCTCACTGTCTCAGTCATCGCGTGACCTCCCTCGGCAAAACCATTCAGTCAGTCCCATTCCCATCACTCCATCAGTCTTGTTTATTATTCCTATCATAATGAATTGACTATCTCTGGTTGCTAAAAATCTTCCCTTGATGAGAAAAACAACAGAATTGATCATGGACTTCGTCTTGAACATACACCAACCAAAGGGTCTTCCTCGCCATCTATAGGTCGCAATATCATTCAATGGGTCCTAAACTCCTAACATTCTCTACAACATCCAACACGTGCGACGGTGCGACGCTTTGAATGGTAGACACATACTCTGGATACGATACCCGCACCTTAGTATCTTATCCAGAGTATGTGTCTACCATTCAAACTTCACGAGAAAAGACAGTGTACGGTAATTGGCTTTGGTCAGAGACGGCTATTTGCGATGGCAATAATACCTTTGACTATCAAACCAGTAGTCAATGATAATACCTTTGACTCAATGACAATACACAACTGATTCATCGGTAAAATATGGCGTTGTTCTGCGCTGAACAGTAGATTTGTCTCCTAAACGAAAGCATTCCTCTATTTTCTATAGAGGACATAATATGTTACTATATACCAAATTTTATGTATGATACCAAATTATAAAGCATAGTACTTTGTATATTGTATGTTCTAAAGCCAAATTTAACCACGAGGTCAAATCCAAAACCTATATAATTAATTAAAATATAGGCCATACTCGTAAAATAGCAGATATAGATTTAGTAACTACGGTGAAAAGATAGAATAGTCCTGCTAAGTCGCAAGCTGTAGCAACGGAAGACCATCAACTAGTCATTCGCGGAAGCTGAGGCTGAATCTGATGAACAATTGTTTGGTCCCAAGGTCTACTTTCATCTTGATATTCAAATAAGGAAGGCAAGAAAACAAACCTCTGTCACTAACTTCTCAAATGAAAGCCCTAGTGTATTACCATTGGAAGGTATTAACTAAATCTTCTTAACATTAACTGGAAATTTTTGCTATCAATCGCAAATCACTGCTTCCTATTATTACAGAAACGATGTAGATAGGAGTAAGTAATGTTTAGTGGCTAGGCTAGATGTTTAAGACATGTTTAATCAATGTTTAAGATCTATTGGCTATAAGGTTTCATTGCCCATAAAATGTGGCGTAGAATACGCTTTAAAGATGCCATAAAAGGGTAAAACAGCCAACCAAAAGCACCATGTCACCATTAAAAGTGGCCAAAACGGAAAAGAAAGTTATGCTCGAGTATCATGGAAAACGGTGTTTTTATGTAAGGCTATTCCACAGTGAAATCCAAATAAATATTCGATTCATGAAAAAAATATTCAAACTATAAAATTGAGTAAACCCGTATATCGTTTTGGACTACAACAGGTTTCAGGCTCCTTGGACTATTTGATAAATTTCAAAACTCGTTTGAAAAATGAGGGCATGACTGATGTCATCACAACCAGCCACTTTTAGTCACCTCCAAAATCCTAGTTTACTTAAATACCATCCGGTCTTTCGAGACCTTCACTAACAGCCTTCCTCCGGGGTTCCATAACAGCCGACGAAGAAAAGTAAAAAAAAACAATGGACCCTAAAACGACGACCAAACCCACTTAACGGATTTGGAATGTAAATCGAGCACCGAGATTTATAAACGCTGCAACCGGTTGCTCAGGAAGTCTTTTACGCCAGCCATAAAACCTAAATTGTCTTAGAGACCGATAAAAAAATAACTGGTTTTGACGAATATACATAGGAAGTGAACCCGTCAAAATGTGTGAGACAAAGAGAGAACAAAGGGTTTGGACTTAGCCTATAATACGAGAATAAAGAATACCTGTCGGATAGCAGACTCCAGGGGTTGGCCTGCGTTCTTGACGAGGTCCTCTGTGAGGGCGCTTTCCTCCACCAGCTGTTCCGACAAGACGTTCTCGTTGATGTCCGCCACCGTGGGCTTGACCAGGTACTGCTGTACACCCACGACCTGGAACAAGGTGATGTAAACTTAGCTATTACAACAGTAAAACTAGAGCTAATACTAGTAGGTGTGACATGAAAAGGGGGATTATTGATCAAAGAACTGTTAAACAAATGCATTCTTTATGAGAAATCTTTTGGTATCTAAACTAAAGAGTTTGAAATTCTTTTCGCAGTTGCTTGCAGTAATCACTTATATCATGAAATCTTTTGTAATTCTTAAATGAACTCTGACTAAGGCTGCACATAAAAAGAGTATTAGGAAAGGGAAAGAGTTTGCAGCAATGATACCAACTAATTATTTTGTTCACGCAAAGGACCCTAAAACATTTTACATTGTTAAATTTAATTTTTCCATGTCAGCCATCTGTACTTAGGGAGGTATGGATTTGGTGATTGTTTACCACAAGTTATCACGTGAGAGTTACAACGTAATAACGTTCTATAGAAGCAGTTAACGCCAAGGCCGAGCATAAAGTTAAGTTGTTGTTTACCGTTGCTTTGGCCGCGAGCGACGGGCGACAGGCTCACAAATATTTGTCCTCTTTGCATCGATTCTACTGTTCCCGACAACCGGTGCACCTCGGGTGGAAAACTACTGGACGAAAACAAGGATATCAAATCACAAAATGATTTAGGGAAGGGAAAGTCTACCCGGGCTAGAACAGGCTTGTCGATAAGCGAGGCAGCCTAACAGCTAGATGATTTGAGGCTTGGAGCTCGGAACGACAGTTTGAAAGGATTTAGATGGCAGTGAGGCATTTAATCTGTATGGACCTTAGTGGGCTAACAAGATCCCTATCGACCGAGTGTGCGAGCATAATTTGTCTCGGAGGTCAATAAACCTCGCTGGCAGACCTACTTTCATGTGCGGTTCGCCTTCGAAAGTTGTACCTAGGGTGGAATTATTCTCATTTCTCGCTTGGCGTGTTTTAACTGCTATTATGCTGGAATTCCAAAGGCTGTTCTGTAGGTACATTGTAATAGGTTATTCTATTCCAATCAAAAGGCAGTTGAAGTAAAATGTGAATAATCTAAGTTAAGAGCAGTATCTTTATTTCCAGAGGTTCTAAAATTTAGATACAGTCAATGAGCTATCCCATTTTCGCGTCTGTTGAAGTTAACTATCGTAGAATTATTTGGAGAATTGTCTCAAGGAACCAGCAACATTTTCAAAAGATTTTACTTCATGGACAGTTGACAAATCATTCCGGCATTGGGGTAGGTTGGTGATATTATTAAGTTTTTAGTCTGAACTAGTAAATGATGCTTATATTTTTATTGTCAATTTATTGATTCTGGTACGAACTCGGTTGCTTATTAAAATCATTATAGGATACATTCATAGTTAAAACACCATCACTCACAGTCAACTGACATCGGTCAACAATGTAACGTAAACACTTACGTCCTGCATTATACCATAGATAAAAGATAAAACGTTGGTTAGTCTATGATTATACCTTAAAAAGATTTCCAACATTTCAGCCGACTTGAACAAACCTTGTTGTCTTGATATGATAAAATTTAATGCAAAACACATAATAAAATCACGGCTGCAAGTGATATTTCAAAAGTATGACATTACAAGTAAAGGAGGAGACATCCGAAAGTCCGATGGGAATTTCAGCGAGGGTAATTTACGAAAAGTCTGTGGTTTGACCCCAGCGAGGCCCTGACCCGGGCGTCGAGCGTGCCAGACGAGTGAACAGCAAAGCAATCTTTTGATGGGATGGGAACTGCAGGAATGGAGTTTTGAGCTTGCCTGGACGCAGAGAAGAAAAGAATACATACCATGAATAAACATTAAAATATTTGTTTAAATAGTCAAATCCAAACAGTAGTTTATTAATCCAGTAAATTTGTATTTAAATTTACTCATAGCGAGAAAGTTTTGGGGTAGTTTTGATTTTTTCCATTTCTTATGTATTTTGGGGTACTGAATCCGAATTTGAGGTTTGCCAACAAAAATTCTTGACGCAACATTGACAAAAATGAGAAAAATATGTAAAAAATTATATTTTTTGTAATATTTGGCTTATAACTCAGAAACCATCAACTTTTCGTAAATAGTCTATATTATAAAAATTAAAGTACACAAAATTTGCTACAAAATGTACCCCTAATGTGGTAATCTCCGATGAACCGTCTAGGCTCCAGAGCTATTTGAAAATTGGAAAATTTTGTGTTAGTTTTTAAATTTCTCAAATTATTCTGTCGATGACATATATTCATTGTATATGCCCAGGCAAGGGTCTTATATAAATTCAAAGTGTTAAAATTGATTAATTTTGTGTTACTGAACCGCTGATATTTTATTTAGTGTACAGAAAAGTTACACAAACTGTTGCCTTTTAAATTATCCTCGCTCAGAGGGTTGTAATCAGGCAGGTTTTGCAAACGTTTCGATGCATCATTTGTGAGCGTTCTAGCTTGTTCATCTGGACAATAGAAAAAGGTTAAAAGTAAAATAATTGTTCTACACATAATAATAAGTTTTGTCTATGGTAATATCAAAATTAAAATATCAGCAATCCGTTAATCATGTAATATACGTATGCACCTGATGACGTGTTATTAAAATATACTGAAATAATAAAATGCTATGTAGGCATATACTGTTGCTAAGCATTTACATTGTGTGTAGATTTGATGGATTGTAGGTTTGATACTATATTGTTACTTTCTGTACAGTGTAAGTATACATCTAGTATGTTTTCCGACTCCTTCTTTAGATCCACATTCATCAAAGCTCATACGAGACCGATCCTATTTTTTTCCCAACCCCATACCTTTGGGTGCCTTTGTTGCTGGTTGTTTGTGGTTTGACTTGACAAGCAATACTGCAGCTGCAGTAACATCACTTGAGGGAACATCATCTCTACTATTTTATTTGGGGGGACCAACAATTTTATAATGGTCTAAAAGAAAAACCATGACTAATAGACAATTTTTAGTCATTTCAAAGACCCTCATGCACACCAGGATGAGATCGCTCGGATACGAAATAAGTTTCTTATTACTCTATACATACACAGAAAAAAAGACGATACTAATTTAAACCTTATGACTCTGGTGTTGGCCGTTTGGCAATCATGTGGACTTAAAAAACTGTTTTTGGAACATTTTATTCCCATTTACATTTTTATTTCAATTTTATTTTTTGTATTATTATTGTATTTGGAAGTTAAAACACTGGTAGACTTAATGGTCTGCATAGTAAATTAATCCTAGGGCGTAGGGTATAGGCCTACATGAGAGTGGTAAGTGTTAATTGACTTAAGATAGTCAATACGAATTTTGGCTTAAAAACTAAATCCAACAGTGCCTCATCACTGCCCCTAACTCCAGCAGCTGCGTAGACATAACTTGGTTAGAGTTTACATTTAGCCTACATTCGGGTGAATGAATGGGGTGGCCTATGGTAACAGTGCCAATCACTCTACTAAGCCATGCATCGGTCTTGAAATTTTACACAGAAAATTGTATAATGGGTGCAAATACGATTGAGGATGTACAATGGGCTGTGATGCTAGAGTCTAAGTAAGTAAGAAAGTAAGTATAGTACCAAACACACATTCCTTTATTTATTAACTTGTTAAATCTACACACAATGTAAATGCTTAGCAACAATATATGCCTATATAAAATTTTAATATTATTTACGTATATCTTAATATCACGTCATCAGGTGCATACGTATATTACATGATTAACTGATTGCTGTTATTTTAATTTTGATATTACTTATTATTATGTGTATATCATTTTTTTTTACTTTTAACCTTTTTTTTATTGTCCAGATGAACAAGCTAGAACGCTCACAAATGATGCATCGAAACGTTTGCAGAACCTGCCTGATTACAACCCTCTGAGCGAGGATAATTTAAACGGCAACAGTTTGTGTAACTTTTCTGTACACTAAATAAAATATCAGCGGTTCAGTAACACAAAATTAATCAATTTTAACACTTCGGATTTATATCAGACCCTTGCCTGGGCATATACAATGAATATATGTCATCGACAGAATAATTTGAGAAATTTAAAAACTAACACAAAATGTTCCAATTTTCAAATAGCTCTGGAGCCTAAACGGTTCATAGGAAATTACCACATTAGGGGTAAATTTTGTAGCAAATTTTGTGTACTTTAATTTTTATAATATAGACTATTTACGAAAAGTTGATGGTTTCTGAGTTATAAGCCAAATATTACAAAAAATATAATTTTTTACATATTTTTCTCATTTTTGTCAATGTTGCGTCAAGAATTTTTGTTGGCAAACCTCAGATTCGGATTCAGCACCCCAAAATACATAAGAAATGGAAAAAATCAAAACTACCCTAAAACTTTCCTGGTAAAAACACTAATTAACTGAATTATATGGTGAGTGAGCTTAAATTCCGAAGTTTTCATTCGACTTCCTAAAAGTGCAAAGTCGCCTTTTTGGAAATACAATCTTTATTCAATGAGGTTTTTCAAATAACATTAAACACTAAACGTGGGCTTACGAGGAAGGTCGATATTACAGGTTCCACTTTACGATTTTACCGAGAAGCGAAGTGTGCTGAGAGGTCGGCCTGAAGGTCACCTACAAATCACCACGACCCAACACTCATCTCATCGTCCTCACCATTTACGACCATTCATGTTCTCCTCATAACCTGCACCGAGAGAGAAACTCCCTCTAGAAGATGTTGATAACTTTCGCGGCTAATAACAAAATCTAGCTCTGAGGATTTTGAAGTTTTCTATTTTAAGCTCGACTTTTTACTTTCTTCCTATCTTTACGACTATCAATGTCAAATGTTAACTTTGATGACAAACATCTTGTAAGGACTATTTCATTCAACGCTCCAAAACCCTCGCTCAATTAGCTGACCTGACAAACAGAAGAAAATCTGGGGAAATATTAGGCGAAATATACTTGGTACTTATATTTGTCAACTATTCCATACTCAACAAAGAACGTGATTTTAATTACAAACTACCGTGAAAAGGCCT